ATTTTTGGATATTTTGTAGTCATCAACCTGCTTAATAGAAACATCTTTGATTTTTCTATATATACGGTCCCAAATTTGAATTAATAGCTTTTCAAAATTCCGTACTTAAAACGATACCATTCGCCTCAGCGCAATAATTTTTATATATTATATGTATAGCGTGTTGCATACCATAAGGGGTTTATAAATTCGAAATTTTTTAGCACTAATTGTGAATTTATTGTAATAAACATTTTTAATTAAAATATAATAAGCATAAACAAATGTAGGGAGAGTATCTGTTATAACTAATTATAAAGTAATTAAGAATAAGTTAAAATCATCATTAGGTACTTCATATGTTCGGATTAAAAACTGCCAGTTTGCATTTATAATGCAAAACTGGCAAAAAAGACTATATATGTATTTAAAACTGACTTTCAATTGTTCGTTTATAAAAGACTACACATGCACAATAAAACAAGAAATGCGTCTTTGTTTTCAGTGTGGCTATTGCATATATGTATTCATGTTCTATAGACAGAAATTATTGTGGACATAAAAAGCTAATCATCACATTTTTTTTTTAATTCTGATCATTCTGAACCATCCTATATCAACTACTTCTGAAAAATTTGTTTATATTAGTCACATTACTATGGTTCTTTGAACTGCTCAAGGAAAACAAAATCTTTCAAGATTAAGCTATGTTTCTCTAAATCCCTAACTATGGTGATTCAGGTCATAATGCACAAACCTTAACAATATATTCTACTATAAAAGAAAATAACTATATAAGCATAATACATTGAAAAATACATAATTTTCGATAGACAAGATGATAAATATAGCACTTCAAAATCACATTCTATTGCATATCTCTAAAAATAAGGAAGATTTGAATTTGAATCATGGCATTATGACCCCAGGTCGTAAAGGTCAACTTCCAGGGCAAATTTGTGGTTTCTACATAAATTCAGAAAATAAAATTGATATCATCCATTATGTTCTTCCTCAGATCTTTGAAACACCTTGTATAATTTTATTTTACTGGTATTGTTTCTAAATCGCCGACTTGTATATTAAAAATTTGTAATCTTGTATCTCTTCCGGTTTCTGATATCGTGTTTAAAACATTTTTTGACTTTTGCGAGCATGCTGTTAAAATTTAAATAATAGTAGGTGTTAGTAGTAGTAAAGGGGCGGCCTCAGCCTGGCAATTAGGCCACAATTGGGTCCTTTTTGCCTACCCCGCCGTCCCATCACCTGACCACTCTCTGCCTCTGACCCTCCTCGAACCTACCCGACGCCCTAATGAACGCCAGGATTTTGGTCCATGGAAGGTCTCTCACCTCAACCCCTTGCAGCTCTTCAGCACCAAAGACTTTATGTCTTATTCTCCCAAAGGCTGCACACTGTCCCAGAAGGTGGACAGGGGTGTCCTCCCCTTCGCCACATTTCGGGCATAGAGGGTCCTCCTCAATTCCTATTAAGCTTAAATGCCTCCTAAGTCTGCAGTGGCCTGTCAGAACCCCCACCATTTGGTTTAGGGCTCTTCGACTGAGGCTCAGCAGCCATCTTGTCTTGGATTTGCTAGGTCCATGTATAAAACTATGGGCCTGCCTGCATCCTCTATTTCTCCTCCAATCCAGACCTAAAGTTTGATAGGTCCACTTATTGAGGGCCCCATTAATGCTGCCTCGTGTGATACCTAAGATTGGTTCAGGTCCCTGTCCAGGTCCCCTGGACCCAAGACGAGCTAATTGATCCGCCCTCTCGTTACCAGGGATGCCCCTATGGCCTGGGACCCAAACCAACTCTACTTCTTTTCGTCTGGCCAAAGACTCTAGAGCGTCTTCACATTCCTGGACAAGGGCAGACCTAGTCCTCGGGGAGCTAACCGCTCTGAGCGCGGCCTGACTGTCGGAGCAGATAAAAATCTTCTCCTCTGCACAATTCCTTACCTCCTCCTTGCTTGCTACCATCAAAATAGCAAAAACCTCAGCCTGGAAGACTAGCATACATACCCAGTGAAAAGCTTTCCTGGATGCCGCTGCCTTCCAGATAAATTCCTGCTCCTGAAAACTCGTCTTCTACCCGAGATCCATCAGTATAGCACACTAGGGATCCCGGGGAGAACATATCACCATCCTGGGGAAAGTGGTGACATACTTCCTTCCTAACCTAAGCCGGTCCTCTGCTTCCGTAACCCTCATGGCGGATATTGGGATGTCCCTCTCCGCCCTGAGGGCCACGGGTTAAAATTTGAATAACTAATTTCAATGTATATTCTCAAAATATGATTAGTGAATATGAAAAAGGATTCTAAGTAGCAATACCATTTATGTATAAAATGTAATTTTCTTTTAATGAATCTGCAAACATTTTCATTTCATTAATTAAATCATAATGAATTGTCAGATATTAAAACTTCCATTTCAAACAGCTATAGATTATTTTTTACTGGAAAGGTAGTTTATGAAATATTTCTAATTAAAAGTAACGTATATAAGTAATATTTTTATTAAGACATACATCATACATTATCATAATAGGTTAAAATTGTTGCAAAGGTGAAGAAATGGTAATATTAAAAAAACAAATGTTTGAGGAAAATATATTTTTATCTATACAGGGTGTGCCATTTAACACTCCCGCTGCCAATATCTCGGAAATGAAGAAATTTATTTTAGTTCTAGAAACTGGGGTTGTTAGGTCCCTCGAATAGCTTCAAATTGCAGTTAGAATTATTAGTTCAAATCTTTCCTATAGGCGATACTAAAAAATTGTTTGATTGAAATATTTACTTGTTTTCAAGACATGTCGACTTCAATATCCAATGTATGATGTAACAGGAAAATCTATTATTTTATCTAAATCACACAGAGGCAAAATATTCTTATAAAATATTGTTATAATGGCTTTATTCACATCACGTACTAACAAACCATAAATTATAAAAAAACAAATGATCAAATACAGAAAAAAAATTGTACAATGGTAAATCTTATAAGGGGCAGAGACGAACCGTATTTTTTCAAATATTATTAAAAAATTGAGTCACACGTCATTTATCTAAAATAAAACATATATTTATCAAAAATAAAACATGTATGACAGATGACACATATTAATTCCCCAATAATTAGTTTTATCAGCTTGCATCTTTCAATTTATACCATTTATACTATACTAGTTATAAGATTTACCATGGTTTATTTTTTTTATATAGTTGATCATTTATAATTTATTGTTTGTTAGTTAGTATGTGGCATGTGGTGTAACATTATTTAAAAAAAATATTTTGTCTCAATGTGATTTAAATAAAATAATAGATGATCCTGTTACATTATACATTGCATATTGAAGTCAACATGTCTCGAAAACAAGTAAATGTTGGGAAAAACTTTATATTACAAAAACTAAAAACATTTAACAGTCTTTTAGATGGACCGCATGTCCAAGTCCTAGGAATCAAAAAATATTTTCGTATCACCACGCCATCTATACAGAAAAATTTATAAATTTCTTCATTTCGGAGATATCGGCAGTGGGAGTGTTAAATGGCACACACTGTATACATACATGCTTCAAATTTTATTACACAGTAATAGAAAAACTGCAATAAATATAGATACATAAAAAAAACGTCATTAATTTTTTGGATCCCACCAAGAATTTGGAAAATATCTTGCTATTGATTATACAGGGTGTTTCAGAAAGACCTCCCGTAAATACAGGGGGGCAATAGTACGGCAAAAAATAAGAATTTTTTGTCCTATGAACTATATGTCTATCTCCCCTTGTTTTCGAGATACAGAGCGATAAAATATAATTTTTTAAATAGAATTTTTACGAAAATTTCCAAACAGTGCGAAATATTTTTTATGAAATTTTGTATTCCGGGGTTTTTAAGGATGCCAAATACGCTGGTCTAATTATTTTTTGTATATTTCATAGAGGATGCTAGTTGTGCTACATTCCTATTACATTTTAAGTTCAAATTTTTTTTAAATTTAGGTTTTTTTACCATTCAGGCTCCAATTTCTAATGTACAATTTTATTTTCTAAAAATAATGTATTCTTGTTAGAACTTCCTAATGTGGACGGTGGTGTATAAAATAAGTGATTTTTTTTCAAAGTAGGCTTATGTCAAATCTTATTGATGAGTGTCTCATAAACAATGCATATTCTTAGTAATATTTTAAACTCTAATTACTTAACTTTATATCAAAATCTTAGTGATTGTTAGTGACTGTAGTTAGTAATGACTAAAAATGAAAATTGTACATAAATTGGAGTCCGAATGGTAAAAAACCTAACCTTAAAACAATTAGAACTTAGAATGTAGTATAACTAGCGCCCTCTATGAAATATCCAAAAAATAATTAGACCAGTGTATTTGGTATCCTTAAAAACCCCGGAATACCAAATTTCATAAAAATATTTCGCACTGGTTGGAAATTTTCCTAAAAATTCTATTAAACAATTTTATTTTGTCGCTCTGTATCTCGAAAACAAGAGGAGATAGGCATATAGTTCATATGATAAAATATTCTTATTTTTTGTCGTACTATCACCCCCTGTATTTACGGGAGGTCTTTCTGAAACACACTGTATAATATTAAATAAACAAATATATAAAATATTCATACAAGTATATATCCTATGCCTTAATTTAGATTAACACGGTAACAGTGAAACTACGAAAATTATTTTATAATAGCCAATCATAAAAAATACGCTAACAAAATTAAAAATACACCATCAATTTTACAGGGATTTGGTTCCTGCCTTGATTCAAATCAAATTTAAATCTCTCAATGCCAGTTTTTTAAATATTGAATTCGACTTTTAATTATTGTAGGTGTTCTATGTTGTATTTCCTTGTAAGTTGAAATAACTTCCATAATTTCTGTGGTGCTAGGATAGTTTGAACATCCTGGTTTAATATACTCTTGAAAAACTTCGTTTATTATTTTCTTTTCTGTATCAGTCCAACCTTTCGCTGCATTGGGTCCTGTCAAAATAAATTTATTTGTTTAATAAACATTTAATTTAGATTATTTGCAAAATTAATTGCTTAACACTGATAACACGAGAATGCTTAAAACTTGTAGCCAGTTTTTTTTACTAAGAAACCTCATTTATAAAATGTAGCACTTCAGTTTTCATGTGCATTAGCTACATCTCATGTGATATTAACCAGGCAATGTATTTATACAGGGTTAACCAAAAGTCCCGGTACGGCAGAAAAACTTTCAAAGAAAGCATTTTGGGAAAAATCCTTACACTTTTGTCTGAAACATTTTTTCCCAAAATGCTTTCAACAAAAGTTTTTCTGCCGTACCGGGACTTTTGGATGACCCTGTATATTGAAAATCTTTGAACTTAGTCAAGCGTTGAAGGTAGGCTGTCTCGGGCATCTATATTAATGTTAGTTAAGGGCGCCATATTCTTTAAATAGTTTTTTCCACAAAGACAAATAATTTCAAACATTTAATAACTGAATAATCTAAAGCTTATCAAATAATAGGAATGTTATGTCATGCCATCTGGGTATTTTCAAAGATACCGCACTAAAACGAATAAACAGAGTTGCAAAAAAACGATCAAACCATCAGGGTTTTAGGTACCTACTAAAATCTACGAAAATACTAACTTTTATATACAACTCCACATGTAAATATTCTTATAACATTTACTTGCTTAGTCCTACAAACAAAATTGTTTACTTTTATTTATAACTACAAGAAAGTAATTCTTAACATGTGGGGTTAGGATAACAGCAAACGCATGTTTTACAAACGCTTTTTTTAGTTATTATTTTATTTGAGTAAATTTAAATAGTAACAATGAATAAACAGAACATCCAAGGATTTTATTTTTGTGCTTAGTTTTGTTCTACACGTTTTACTTTTCAACATTTCAGTACCTAAAAATGCCAGAAATTTGAGTATTTCTCGGCCAGGGATATGGCCACCTTAAGGCGACGTTACACAATGCCAGTAACTTGTAGAAGTTAGTATTTAATTAGCGTAAACTGATATTTTAATACTAAACTATCTGTTTACACAGATTAAATACTAAAATCCAGTACTGGACTTTATAGTACGGGAGGTAGCGTAACATTTTTTCTAGGAATTTTATACCGAATAAATGAGTGTCAGTTACCACACCCGCAGTGGAACTAAAGGTGACAGCATGCGAAAGTTGTTGAAAGAAAATGTGGTTTGAGTATATTCATACTGTACAAAGATTCATGAGATGCTTTAAAGTATAGTCATTTTATAGCTTGTCATTTATAACGACAGTAATAGCGTCAGTTAGCGTCATAAACAAGCTGTACGCTCAGTGCATCTGAGCGATGGTGATGGTGAAACATTCAGCTGATGGTGATTTTTAATTTTGTTAATAATAAACATACACTATATTTTAATTTCAATCACTATTATATTAATTTAATATAAATAATGCCACTTTATGCTGTGAATAACGATCTTTTAATAAATTTTTCATACTTATTAACTTCATGGTGATTTTAAATTATGCATAGAAATATTAATTCATAAAAAAACTAAGATACAAATCTTTTTAATTCTAGATATTTTAATTTTTTACTTTACTAAAAAAAATTAAAATTAGAAAAATTATCATTATATCTTTACCGATACAAAAGTAATTAATCAATTTCATTAATACTGATTGAAATTAAAATATAGTGTATTTTTATTGTTAACAAAATTAAAAATCACTGTCAGCTGAATGTTTGTGGGTGTAAAGATCGTCAATTCGTTTGCCAAAGTGACTATGCATCGCTCAGATGCACTGAGTGCGCAGCCTGTTTATGACGCTGACTGGCCCTCTTACCCTCGTTAAAAATACGACACGATTTTCTTTTATTATTTTAAAAGTATAAAAATTCAACTGCATATGTTTCATAAGGTATAAAATGACTTTATACTTAAAAAAATTTAATATGGCGCATATAAGTGACTTACGTATAATCCCCTCTCTTCAATTCAGCTGATCATTATTTTTTAGTTAAAAATAATCGGAAAAACTATCATGAATTTTTATATGATATGAATATATTCAAACCATATTTTTTTTAACATATTTCTCATGCTGCCACCTTTAGTTCCACTGCTACTGGAGCAGCTGACGTTTAGAGCTCTTAAATGGTTTGTGAAAACTATTGTTAATTTTCAGTCGGTATGAAATGACTTGTTCAAATGTACCCTACCTCCCATACTATTAGCGACTTGTACAAGTTGCTGGCATTGTGTAATGCCACCTTTAGTTTAACAGCACAACGCTTGAATGGCAACTGCTTGCCGTCGACAATTTTACATTTTTGTATATTAAATGAGAATATGCCCACTTAACAGCAACGGCACAACATTAGCACTCCTTCATACATTAAAATATGATATCTACTTATTTATTCAATATTTTTTTCAATTTTTCTCCTTTCCGTCTAACAAAATAACTATTAAAGCTATTTTTTGCTAGGATAACATTTTTATTAATGCATGTCAAACGAGACACAGTTCATGCTCACAGTGTAGTGAGAGCGAGCAGTTGTCGTGCTGTTAAATGAGCAACAACCTTTATGTTTTCATATGGCAGTGGAGTTAATTTGCATTTAAAACCATTGTTTTTCTATACCTACTTGTTTTTTCTCAAAATACTGTACTTATATTCAACTGCAAGAAATAACAATAAAATAACTTTTTTGGTACATAAAGAAACCAAAGTATTAAGCGGTTAATTCTTCAACATTTTCAATTAATTTATTTTGTAAAACATATCTACATCCTGAACATTATGAATAGATCACTTGTAACAACATTATAGTTTAAAAAATGTAATTTTAAATTATGACTAATTGAAAATATTTGTTGTGTTAATAATTTACTTACTCTTTTTTTTTGTTAATTTCATTATGAATCCATAATCGCAACTGCTGAGGGCTCCTATTTTTCAGGTGTATATTATTTTGCTGTGCAATTTTACAGTCCTTCAGAGACGGCAATACATTGCTTTCAATACAGTTTGCAAATAAGTCACGCGCATTTTGTTTTTCTGGAGTCGTCCAGCTTTTCCTTGGAACGTATCCTAAATCCATATCTGAAATAATATTTCGAAAAAAATATATTTAAGTAAATTAGTGTAACATGCAGTAATTTAATATTGAAAGAGTAGTTTTAATATGCAAATGAAATATATACCGATAAGACGTGTCCTTTTAACATTTGTATTTGAAGTCGAAAGTGTTTTATTCATGGAGGGAGAAGGTAGTGAAGAAGAGTTTGTTAAATCAAATTCACTCTCATCCAATGCAGTTTCAATGGCATCAACATCTAATGTGGTTTCGTGAGAAATTTCATCACTTAATATGGCAGTTTCCATGGCAATTTCATCATCCAATGTGGTACTTCCCATAGCAACTTTGTTTGTCTTGGTACCTTGGGCTATCTCTAATAATTGAGACATGTTGATTATATCTCTATTTATAATTGGTTGTTTATAATACTCATTATGTATTTTAGGTGCATGACCAAGAAATTTTGGAGATTTTCCACATTGTAACTGTCTAATTTCATCTGTGCAGACTTAGTAGCAACGTGTTTTCTTAGTAGTGTAGCTCTAAGAAGAGAAGGATTTTTTGCACCACAATCTACTGAATATTTTGCCAATAAAAGACCAGCTCTTAAATATCTAAAGGAATTAGATACACCTTTTTGCGGCAGGCCAAATACATATGGGTTGTCTTTGTGAACTCCAGCTTTTCGGCGAAATCGTATGAGTAATTTTATGTATGTATTGTTATTTTTATTAAGAAGTACAGGCACACCTCTGGCTAATTTACCTCTTATTGTGAAACGAGCATAAGATTTAGCTACCTTTTTAGCTTCTTCTGAAAGCGACTCAAAGGCTTCAGAATTTTGTTCTTCAATGTATTGCAAATTGTTCAAATCGGATATCATAGCCCTCTCAAGTTCACCTGGTCTTTTCCTGTTAAAAACTAATATGGATATTAATGTAAATTTTAATAAATTTAGCCAAGAAGCTACAGAAAATTCCTTGTCACTTATTTCTTCATAATACTTCTGCTAGTTACTGGTTATATATGCATTCAATTTTCTTACGTCTTCTGTAAGTGGTAAAACCTCTTTTTTCTGTCTTTTCTGGTGCAAAAGACTTTCTGCAGCCGTTTTATTAACTGGTCCTTGCAACCCTGTCTTCAAAAGAACTAATACGTCCTCTACATCCTTTTTTTGTTTCTCATCTCGAGATTTTATACATTCCATTATATATAAATTGGCAATGTATTTTAAAGCAGTTCCTATCGTACTTGGCAACGTTGGTTTTTCATAGTAACCAGAAATTTTATCATAATTACCAAACTGATGTAATACCTCAATTATTGTATCAAATATTGGTGGTTGATATAATGATGCAAAATCATCTATTGCAGGATTAACTGATTTAGCAACTTGAAGAAATCTACCCATTATTCTCAAACGATTTTTTATCATGTCATAATGATGTCTGCTTCTGTATTTCATACACATTGCATTACCATAGACAACTAACAGCTTATCATACTTTATTAAGGAAAATATTACATCATCCCTCATTGAAGACAGTATGCAAGTCTTTAAAATTTCATTTGCCAAAGGATGAACATAATTAAATAATGCCTTACTATTTGATAAAATACCTCTATTAGTGCCAGACTGAATATTTTCATAACAATTTCTATAATGCCTTCTTAAGGCTGGTTTTGTAATAAATATTTTACACTTAGGGCACACCGTATATTTAGATTTTGGAATGTTATTTATTTTTCTGGCAACCACAAGGTCAGCATCCGAGTGCAGTGCTTTTGAATTGTATTCAAAATTCCCACGAAGTCTCAATTCTGCGATAAACCTTCTTCTTTGTGGACAATCTAAATACGTACATAAAAAATTGTTATAAAGGTTGTTCCAAAAATAAACCAACAAACTATTAGGCAGACAAGTCATGAAACAAATAAGGTATACTGTATAAAGCATTGAAAAGTCAACTTTTTGGATGTTCATGCTAAATAGAATTTTTTTGTTGTAATCGGTAGGTAAACTTACTTAAGATGACCATAAATTCTCTAATACGAGGGAGGTGGAGAAGGTCGTTTTTATTGTAAAATAAATTCCAAAAATGCATTTTTTTTACTTTTTCTTGAATAGCTCTTCTACTATTGGTTTTAGGAAAAAAGGTAATGATATAAAGTTGTTCAGATCAAATTTTCTACAAGATAGGTTCGGTTATTAATGTTTAATTTTGTTTTTTAAATGCGAAATTGTTTAAAAAAGGTCAATAAAATTGAAAAATCTATATATCAAAAAAGTACAAAAAATTCTTAATTGCTACTGGAACTGCACTGGAGGATGTAATATGTAATCCCAAGGCTATTTTTCTATCTCAAAATGGCAGCCTATTGCAAAATTATTTGTCCATAAATTTCAAATAGCTACAAAAGTGATTACAATTACTAAAAGTTGAGGATCTCGGCTTCTATCGGTCCGATTGTAAGGATTTTTTTTAAATTAATGTATTTTTACTTGCATTACAATGCAATTTGTCGAGATTCTCAAAATTGAAAACTTGCTGAAATACGGTCCTAGCGACGGACATTTGTTGTTAAAAATGTTGTTAAACTTCAATGTAAAAAAATCCCTTTTCAGCATTTAATAAGTACATCACAAGCTAATGATTCAATTGGTTTCATCAACTTATTTAAAAACCCGCCAATTTCTTAGCTACTTGAAATTTATGGACAAATAATTTTGCAATAGGCCACCATTTCAAGATGGGAAAATAGCCTTGGGATTACATGTTCGACTAACCAAGACATCCTACAGTGCAGTTCCAATAACAATTAAGAATTGTTTGTACTTACTTTCTCAATATGCAGATTTTTCAATTTTATTGACAAACAATTTCGCAATTGAAAAACAAAATTCAACATTAGTAACCGAATCTCTCTTGTAGAAAATTTGATTCTGAACAACTTTTATATCATTACCTTTTTTCCTAAAACCAATAGTAGAATTCAAGAAAAAGTAAAAAAAAATGCATTTTTGGAATTTATTTTGCAATAACAACGACCTTTCCGACCTCCCTAGTACCTATTAGAGACTTTATCTGAAGTATGTTATTACCAATTACAACAAAAAATTTTTATTTAGCATGAACATCCAAAAACCCTGACTCTGAAAATTACCCTGACTCTCCAACTAAAAATGCTCCACTAAAAAGATACAGAAGAACAAAAGGAAAAAATTATATATACAGGACCTCCCGTAAATTCAGGGGGTACAACAAAAAGTAAGAATTATTTTTTGTATATTTCATAGAGGCCGCTAGTTATGCTACATTCGTATTACATTTTAAATTCTAATTTTTTTTAAATTTAGTTTTTTTACCATTCGGGCTCCAATTTCTAATGTACCTACAATTTTATTTTCTAAAAATAATGTACTCTTGTTAGAACTTCCTATTGTGGACGGTTTTCGACAAAAAAAAGGCTTTTAATTGATTTCTTAAATATTACTGTGTATAAAATAAGTGATTTTTCTCAAAGTAGGCTTATGTCAAGTCTTATTGATGAGTGTCTCATAAACAACGCATACATTCTTAGTAATATTTTACACTCTAATTAACTTTATATCAAAATTTTAACAATCACTAAAATTTTGATATAAGCATAATTAGGGTTTAAAATATTACTAAGAATGTATGCGTTGTTTATGACAATTCCATCAATAAGTTTTGACATAAGCCTACTTTGAGAAGTCACTTATTTTATACACCGTAATATTGCAAGAGTTTAATTAAGTCTTTTTTCTCAAAAATATTACATTATTTAAAAAAAATTAAATTGTACATAAGAAATAGGAGGCCAAATAGTAAAAAAATCTAACCTTAAAAAAATTAGAACTTAAAATGTACGAATATAACATAACTAGCACCCTCTATGAAATATACAAAAAATAATTAGACCAGCGTATTTGGCGATCTTAGGAACCCCGGAATACCAAATTTCATAAAAATATTTCGCACCGTTTGGAAATTTTCGTAAAAATTCTATTTAAATTTAATTAATTTTATTTTATTTTGTCTCTCTGTATCTCGAAAATAAGAGATAGACATGTAGTTCATAAGACAAAAAATTCATATTTTTTGTCGTACTTGAATTTACGGGATGTCTTTCTGAAACACCCTGTATATACATATATATTTTTTGTAATATAGTAAAATTGCTTTTTCCAAATTCTTATGGCTTTAATAAATTAAATCTACAATCATCGACATTTTAAATAAACTAAACAAATTTTTATATTCCACGTTCTCTTTGTAAGAACAAATTGGTCTTATGACTTCCCTGTAATGCGTACCAAGTTGTTTTTGAGTCAACGCAAAAGTTATAAATCAAGTAAATTGTGTAACTTTGAAAACAAATTGTTTTAAAAATTAGAAATTACGGTATTGCAGTTGTTTTTTGAAACTTCAATGCCTATAACATATTAAAGAAGCATTTTAGAGTAAACTTTTATAGACACCTCACTTTATTTCATGACATTGAATTTTGTTGGTACATTTCTGTTAACGGCAAGAATTCAGACGACTTACGTCATATGAACAATTGAGTACGACATATTTTCATCAAGTATTTAAAAAACTCCAACTGCAACTGAAAATATAAAAACCATATAGGGTGTAAATGATAAGTTTAGCCAAACTTTAATGGCGTATTTTATCGATGAAAATAACAAGTTTTGCCCCATACAAATTTTGGATAGGACGCTTCCCTACGGAGATACAGGGTGTTAAAACATTCAAATATTTATATTATTTTTTTATGTGTAGTGTTTTGAAATATCTTAAAAATATTAGGTACTGCATTTATTGTTAGACATTTAACAATCAATAAAAAATAGTAACTACCAACGTAGGTATAAGTATTTTCTTATTTGATTTCCGAATTATCTGAAGACTAGTAAATTTTAAGAATACTTTACAAGAATATTTCATTTACACAAATTGATTGTACATTTTGAAAACATTTAAAATTATTTAAAAAACAAGTGGCATTCGAATTTTCTTTTTCAAAAAATGTCCCATACTCCCTCAATAACTACGCCACTGGAGTATATTTTGGAATAAGTTATCCATGAAAAAATAGTCCCTACTGAAAAAATGTCATTTCCCAACTTGTATAATTCAATCTTTTTTGCCATATTGAAGTTACAGGAAAAATAATATAAATATTTGAAACTTTTAACACCCTGTATCTCCGTAGGGAAGCGTCCTATCAAAAATTTTTATAGGGCAAAGGTTGATTATTTTCATCGGTAGAATACACCATTAAAGTTTGGCTAAACTTAACAGTTACACCCTGTACAATATTACACTAAATGTTTACACTATATATTACAATAAATTATAGAAAATGATTGTCTTTAAGGCCTGCACATACATATTCGGTAGCGATGGCGGTGGCGTTATTCGAATTTGAATACAAAGACCGCTTGTACCGCGACATGTACGTTTTGACCCATTTGTTTCTATACGTTACATTCAAACGCCACCGCTACCGCGTATGTATCTGCAGGCCTTTAATGTGATAATCTATCCAAAATATACGGGCAATAAAAACAATTGCGTAACGTCACCCGTGACGTAAGTCGTTCGAATTCTTGCCGCTACTATACAGGGTGATTCACAAATGGTGATCAAAATGAAAGCTCGTATTCTTTGCTGAATTTTAAGGAGAGTCTTTCCTATAAAGTTTTTATCTAGGACGCTTCGTTAAAAAGATTCAAAAAATATTTTTAATTTTTTTAAATAATTTAAAAACTAGTAACTGAAATAATTTGAAATTGGGCATATGTATTTATGTAAACAATGTCCAAAATCTATTTAAAAAAATTCAAAATATTTTCGTTTAGTTAACACCCTGTATCTTTTTAACGAAGCGTCCTAGAGAAAAACTTTATACAAAAGACCCCTTAAAATTCACCAAAGAATACGAGGTTTCATTTTTGGTCACCATTTGTGAATCACCCTGTATACATTCTATTTTATATGTGAATGTCCTATATTTTCTTACTTTTAGGTAAAATGACAAATCGTTTTACTTCCGGTTCTTCACAATGTACTTGCTGGAAATGCCTCTCAATATTTGTATTAGTTTTCTTGCAAAATGTACAGTAATTTTTTTTTTTGGGTAACACGGATTCTTTTTTTTGCTTTGGGGTAAATTGCCCGGGGCCAATATTATTTGAGAATGCACTTGGATGCGAGTTGGGGCAATTTTATCTATATCTAATGATTCAACTTCAGTATTAGTTTCAAAATGTTCGTCACTATCAAAACCATCACTATCAGAACCAGGATCTAATGTTGGCTCTATTAAAAAAAAATAATAATCCATTTTCTTTCATACATTATCATTATGACATATTTTTTTCTTGAGTGTCAAAACATTTCTTGTTTTAATATGTGCATAGCACATAAGTTTAGAGATACATATTTCTAACCACTTCATATTACGTATAAGCAATTTGTTATGTACGAACGAGTAGGTAAATAAATTTTAAAATTTTGTTAGGATTTTTTTGTTTACATTTCATATATAAAAAGTAAACGTTTTAAAATTTAACATATTTGTGTTTTACTTGCACTACTATAGACACATTTTATTTACACCATCATTTAACTTTAGAATTAGGATGTAACAATAATCTTACCCCGATTTTTATATGTACTTGAAAACAATTTTAACTTACCAAAGACTCGGATTCTCGGATTATCCAGTAACTCACTGTCGGATGAATCATAAGAAGAATTTGAGGATGGGACGTAACCAACACTATTACTTGACATGTCATTACTATTACCTGATATGTCTTCTGTAGTAATTACATCCTCATCACATGCATTAACTTGCGTTAAATTGCTACAGCGTTCAAACACTATAACATAGTACAGCATTTACTTATTAAAAGTTATTAAAATGATAATAACAATGACAAAAATATGGAACATAAAAAAATTACTCACCAACCCGAGGGAAGTCACCACCATTTAGTGTTGATGTGACTGCGTGGCATGCTTCTTTATTTGCCAAACATAACAGTTCTACATTATATGATGAACTTTTCCATTTTGTTACAACTGAATACGGAGTATATTTAATATTTTTCTTCGGTACATATGTGTATATACCGTCATCAAAACGAACTATAGCATGTGTGTACAAGGACATGATAATAAACCTGAAAATTAAAATATAAAAATTAATTTTTGGATATTATGGGATAAGATATAAGCAAGGTTCGCAAAAGTCATGACATTTTTTCAGAATGTAAATATGAAATTAACTTAATAAATTTACATTTTCTAATAACTTATTTTGCAGTTAATCGATTTTTTTTCATAAGTATTTGATACCCTTTTTACACATAATAAACTACACTAACATAAGAATGCTGTGGATAAAGCTACGAATTCGTCCCTCTAATGGCTTTTTAAAGTTACAAACTGACATCATCTATAAATTCGTATCTGTATTACTTACCATTAAAAATATGAACTGACGGATTGGTGTCTGCACATAATCTTAAAGCTATTTTAGAGAAAATATTCTATCAAACCTATCGTATCTTCTTTGATCTTTTACAGGTACACTTTTGTGAAAACAAGAAATACATACCTAGGTATTCAAAACTTGTTCAAATTAGTAGGGCCATACCTACATGCTTGAAATAAAAAAAATATTACTTACCATTCTCGATTTACATTACTAATTTTAAGTAAAAATACTAGAAAGGTAGGCAAACTTCGCTGACGCGAAGTTTGACCTTTCTCTCGGGCCTTCGGCCCTCGAGCCGCGCTGCGCGCGGCCCGAGCACCGCTCCGCGGTGCTCTCCTCGCTGGTTAGTAAAT